GGGATGATTAGAAACATCGAAATGAATTATTGGATACAGTCGTCCATAGTTTGCATAACTTACTAAACAACCAGACTCTGTGTTATTGGTATTTAATCCCGCCGCTAAGAAATCAGAATAATATCTCGAATAATCTAATTTTCCAGGTTTAAAGCTAACATTATAATCTTCTGTTGGTTATTTATCATTATTAATTGTTAACCAACATCTTATCATATCTAAGTTATCGAATATCATATTATTTTGATTCTGATCGTTTTCCTTTTCTTGATATTGTGGGATTACAAAAATATTTCTGATTTAATCTGTTTAACTTCTGGTTCAGGATATAGTTTAATATATGGTAACCAAAGTGAAATATCAGATATTATAACTTTATAATTCGGATTATCAACGTCGGTATAGATCATATCATTATTTGAATTTCTCCAGAACACAAATCTTACATCAATGTTTGATATTATTTTCCTAAAGTCATTGAAAAATCCAAACATCTGTTTAATTGGTGTCCACAGTTTGATCTTGTTACTGTTTTTGGTTAATATCCATCTTTCTGTAAATCCTTTATTATAATTTGCATTTTTCTTTAATCTTTTAAAAAGATCTCCATTTTTTCTACAGTTCCAAGAGATTGATCATCAGGTCCATCAAATATCAAAACTTCTTTATCTGGTGATTCTGAGGTGTCAATGGAAAACCGCATATTAGTTGCTTCGGAAGTAGAATAATCTTTCGTAAAGTTTATAAGACAATTAATATGATGAACTAATGAAGGTAATTCAATTTCTTCAATTAGTGTCTTACCAATGTGTAATTCAGATCTTGAGAACAAATTTCCAGTATTTACCAAGGTTACGTTATCACTTCCAATCGAAGAACCATCCTGTTTCTTAATTTTCAGTTCTGGACACATATAACCACTAGAATATAAAATCATATCATTTACATCTTTAATATTAAATTCATATTTCGCTGATTCCTTTTCATCGACGGTAACTTTGTCTTCTCTATGCTGTTTGTACTCAAAACTTTCGATTTCATTGTTGTAATAATTAGGAAGAGTTAAATCCCAAATCTTTTCCATTTATTAGCATAAAAATTTCTTGAATTCTGTTCCATATAATATTTGCTTAGTTATAATATTTCTTACCTTGTTTTTCACAGTCGGAGATTTTTTAGATAAAATGCTCTAAAGTTTACTTTTTACAAACTGCTTTGTCTTATCCTCAACAACAGATTTTGCTTGGTTTCCTATTATTTGTAATAATTTCTTACCAGCCGTTTTAATTGCATCGATAAATATATTTCCATCATAATATTTTTTATTTCGAACTAACAGTCTATGTTTATTATAATTCATTTATTTAGTTTAAAATTAAACGAAAAACAACTCTCTGTTTATTGAGATTAATTAAATTATCATCCTGATCAGTTATCCACATTTTAATTCTATAAATATAATGATTTCTATTAATGTCAGCAAATATGGGATTAATCTCTTCAATTTTTATCAAACTTCCAGGTGGATGAGACGGTGTAAAAAAATAAAGAATATCATTAGTGAAATCGTTGTACTCTACTCCACTGATTACATCACAATGTATATGAATATCATCGATTCCTTTTGAAATATTTGCTATGTATTTTCCTTTCTGTTCTTCATCTTCATATATCTTTGGTTCAAAACCTAATATCTCGTGGAGTTTTCCTTTACTCAGATCAATTTTATATCCAGGTTCTAAATGAATTATAAATCTCATTGTTGCAAAATGAATTCCAAACTTTATAGGAGGTATTCCAAAGAACTTTACTAAAAAGTTATTTAGTTCTCGAAGAGTGTAATTTCCATTTTCTATCGTTACTTCATTCCACTTTGTTTTATCAAAATATCTAAAGGTATTATTATTAAATTTTTCATCGATATTATGCCAAGATACCCACATAGACATCGATTTCAGAGCTAATTTCGAATTATTTACGGGTATTGGAGTTTTAAACTCAATTGTGAAGTCTTCCGATTTATCAGCATTTTTCGAATCTAAGACTATTAGTTTCATTTATATAAAACAAAATTCTCATTAAACTCGCTCGGTTCTTGCGTAAATGAGTATAAAACATCAATGGGAGATTTTCCTTTATTTCTTTCTACAATGTATTTCATACAATAGTAACCACATCTAACAGACGTAGGATTCTGAAGAAAACTAGAGTTATATCCTATTTCTCTTTTAGATGTTTTTAAATATTTTATGATTTCTTTTGGAATTATCTCTATTTTCATTCTTACATTTTTTAACTTATATTCTCCAAAAGGATCGAAGAATTCAACGAAGGGATATTTAGGATCATTATAATAACAAACCCAGTGTGTACTATCTCCAGTTGAAATATCTAAATTAATTATACCGTTTTCAAATTTTATAATTGTTTTCGGTAATAGATCAATCGTAAACACACCTCTAAAACCTTCTTCATTTTTAAATTATTATTTATCGTCTCGTTGGATATTCCCAATTCTGAATCAATCCTTTCCCCTTTAATTTGAAATTTGGCCATATCGGACCTAAAGGACCTTTCGTAAGGAGACCACCGTTTTTTTTTTATTACATCCTGATCCAGTTACTTTATCTAAAGCTTTTTTCACTCCCCATCCTGCAGCACCCGATAAAGCTCCTGTAGCCAAAGTTGTTAGAGTAGGAATTAAAAATGGTAAGAAGCCTCCATTCTTTTTTAATTGCGTTCTACTTATTTTTATTCTCTTTCCTTCATTAATATTTTTTATTTGTGTTTTTGTTAAAAACATATCATGATTAGGAGGTTTAGATTTATCTATTTGTAAATATATTTCTTCTCCATTCTTAAAGGCTGATTCCAATTTATTCTTTTGAGATTCGCTAAGATAGATTCTAACCTTTATATAATTACTCATTTATTTAGTTAAAAATTTAGAATAATATTCTTTCACTGTATCAGCTGTTATTTCTCCTGAATTTAATAATAGATCTAGAATTTCAACAATTTTATTATATACTTTTTTATTTCCACCTAACAGTTTATCAGTTAATTTATCTAATTCACTAACTAATCCTTCTCCACTAATTTTAAATGATTGTGAAGCAGACTTTAAAACTTTTAATTTTTCTCTATAAAGTTTAAATAAATCTAAATCAGACTGATACAAATTTAACTCCTCTTCTAATGCTTTTCTTTGAAAATCATCTGTAGATTTCTTTAATTTTCTATTCACTTTTGCTTTAAATGATCCTAATGATTTCGTTCTTCTTTCAGCTTTTTCAAGCATTTCATTTATTTCATCAGGTTTATTAACTAATTGTGATGAAAGAATAAAACTATTTCGCTCTAAATAGGAAACATCTAATCCTTCATCTAAGTTTTCTGCAGTATCTATACTTCTTTTTCGGTGTTGATTCTCTTTCAACTAAAGTTGATTCTGCTTCTGGAAGTTGAGGAAGTGAAGAATCAATAGTAGAAGGAATTGTTATATTATGAATAGCATCTTCAATAGCTTTTAAATCTTGTCTAACATCTTGAATAGGAACCTCTAATTTCTCTGTAACTGGTTTATGAAACTCTGAAAGACTTTCTTCATATCTTGTTTTACCTAATAATTGTTCTTCATTCTTCTTTCTTATTGCTCTATTCTGCTTAGCTAAAGTAAGTAACGCTTTCTTTGTCTTCTCATCCATTTACTAAGCTAAAAAAATTAGCTCAAGTTAAATATTAAGCTGAACTTTTTTAAACAAATAAATGATTAAGATAAAAGATTATACAGAATCAGATGAATATGAAGATCCTAATCAGAATCCATTATTACCTAAACATTCATTCAGACTCTTAATCGTTGTTGGCCCATCAGGATGTGGAAAAACAAATCTCTTATTAAATCTAATTTATGATCAACTGAATTTTAATGCTTTATACGTATGTGCTAAAGATATATTCGAACCTAAATATCAAAAATTACAAAAAAATTTTACACAATTTGATGATGTTGAAGAGGAAGATATTATAAGTTTGAAAAGTAAAGAGAAATATAAACTACTCGAATTGTTTCATAAATTTATAAAAGAAACATTAATTACTAATAACATAGATGATATGATTGATGTGGATAGTTTAGATCCATCGATAAAAAATCTGATTATTTTTTATGATTGTATTACTGAAAAAGATCAATCAAAAATTGTAGATTTCTTTATCAGAGGAAGGAAGAAAAATGCTTCAATTATTTAAGTATCTCAATCCTATTATTCAACACCAATTGATATATGAAGAAACTGTAATTATATTATTTTCTTCAAGATTCAAGACAGAGAAATTAAACAGATAATTAGAGAAATAGATGGATCATTTTGTAAAAATTTATATAGTAAAGCTACTCAAAAGCCATACGATTTCTTTATGCTAGATTTTAAAAAACCAAAGATGAAATATCGACGTAATTTTACTACTTTATAAATGGAAGAATACTTAGAAAAGAAAATATATGTTTACAGAAAGAGTTATAATGATTATCATATAATTAGTGTATCATTAACAGTTGGAAAATTTATATTTAGTGCTTCAGGTCTATCTGCGTTTGTTATAGTTCCGTTAGCAGTATTAAGCTTAGGAGCCGGAATAATCGAAGTTATAGATAAGTCATTAAAACTATCGGAAAGAAAGGAGAAATACAAGCAAGCATTTAAATTTTATATACAGCTATTAAATCTATTCAAAGCTGGGAGCATATCAGAATCTGACGTGTATTTGAGAGAAGAACAGTTTATTAAAAATATGAAATATTTCCCATTAGAGAAATATATAAAGAAAGCACAATTGAATGGATATAAATTTTTGAATAAATAAATGAATAAAAGAGGTGGAGATGTTGTTGGGTGGTTACAAGATAAAGTGAATCCACCTGAAATGCATATACCTGGATACCAATATTGTGGCCCCTTTACAAAACTACATAAAAGATTAGAAAGAGGTGATCCTGGAATAAATAGAGTAGATAAAGTTTGTAAAAAGCATGATGTTGCTTATAGTAAATCAAAAAATACAGCTGATAGACATATAGCAGATCAAGAAATGTTAAATGAATTAGATCTTATTAATAACCCATCGAGTGCCTTTTATCCACTTGGAGAAAAACAAGCAAGAGCAGTTATAAAACCAATCATTAGTGCAAAGAAGAGATTCGGCCTTGGAATTTCTCCCAATATAAATAGTATCTATTGTTTAAAGTGTAAAAGGAAAACAAAAACAAATAATATTATAGAAACAAGAACAAAAAATAATAAATCTATAGCGAAAGGAACGTGTGCCGTTTATGGTACTAAAAAAGCTGTTTTTTTATGAGTTTGATGAAGGATGTTTATTATAATCCTGAAACTGGTTACTGTGGTATAAATGAATTACAAAGAAAGACTGGTTTACCAAGTAAGGTTATTAAAGAATTTTTACATCAACAGGATGAATATACTAAACATAAACCAATTACAGTAAAACCTCGAAAACTCGGCCTAATGTGGACCGAAGGGTGGCCGAGTTTATGAAAATGCCGGGTTATCGGGAATGGGGTTCAAAAAGGATAAGTATGTGTGTTTCCTCAGAAAATAGTGTTCTGTACTTATATGTATTGTTTACTTGAGAATATAACAGAGAATAAACTGCCCAAATACCTTTAAACAAAGGAAAAGTACGTCCTTTATGAAGGTATAGAGCAGTGTTTTTCAACCTTTTTGAATACGCGACCCCTTTCCAAGTTAAAAAATTCTGGCGACCCCCCTAGGGCCATATTAAATCTATATCAGTGATTTTAAAAATTATGTATTTAATTTTCTTTCTGTTGAGAGAAATTGTTGTTGATTGAAATGAGAATTTAAGAAGAATCGACAATAACTTAAGACAAGTATAGTATGAAACTTCCTTTTCATTATAACATTGGGCTCTGGGTGCTGTTGACCTTTTTTTTTAGGATGAGAGTTCTGAACTTCTACTTTTCTACTTATTACTTCTTTTTACAAGTCAGCTCAACACTTTTTCGGCTATCATTTTCTGGGCGTACTCACCCAGGCCCCTCCCTGGCGACACCCATCGTTCAGACCTAAATGCCGATCAAAAAACCAATTGTACTGTATAATAAACAGGTACAGCCTTCTCGCTAAAATTGTAGTTTTTTTAAATGTAGTGCAGGACCTACAAACACTTATCTTTTTCTTTTACCCGCGACCCCCCGTGTAAGGCTTCGCGACCCCCAAGGGGGTCGCGACCCACAGGTTGAAAAACACTGGTATAGAGCCTTTACTACATGAAAATGAAAATTAATGAATACACTGTGTACAGTAATTTACCTGATAAGACAGACCTCAGAAAAATACTTTATGAGAGCTGTTATACTTTTATAAAGCTGTCTATAATGAAAATTAATTAACTAAGGATTTTTTTGCCCTGCCAGGGTGTGGCCGAGTTATCCGGAGTGCCGTGATATCGAGAGCCGAGTTTTCGAGGTTCTACTGTATTAGAATGCTCATTTCCCAATAACAGGATAGGAAAATATTTTCGTAACTGCGAAAGATCATTACAATTACAAATCACGAAGTTTTTAGAACATCTAAATGAGGTAAGAGCTCCGTACGCTGTAGTTCCGTTCAGAATCCCCGGATCTTTAAATCTGCCAGGGCAAGTCGCATCGATTCCTTATTCTGCATAAGTAAATTCGAAGGGGGGGAAAAACAAGAATATTTTAAAATCTAACATAAACAAACAGATAATTTAAGTGATAAAATTTCTTCCTAATTTAAAATGCTACAAAGCTATATAAAGTTTTTGTTGGAGATGATTTAATACTATGAAAATATTTCAACAATAATTTTGAAATTTAAGAAAACGTTTAATTTTACGAAAGAAGCCAACATATTTTTTAAAAACNTGGAAATATTTTACTGCTAACAACACTAAAAAATGGATAGACGTTTTAGATAAATTAATTAAAAATTATAATAACTCTTATCATAGATCAATAAAAATGACTCCTGTACAAGCAAGTATAGAAGATAACGAATGGAAAGTTTATGAAAATTTGTTTAAAAGAAAAATTATATCACAGTCTCCTAAATATAAAGTAGGTGATATGGTTAGAATATCTATATATAAAAAACCATTTAAGAAAGCTTATTTACCCTCCTAAAGAGAGGAAATATTTATAATATCTGAAGTGTTGAAGACAGATCCAATTACTTATCGAATTAAAGATTTAAATAAAAAAGATATTAAAGGAACTTTTTATGAAAATGAGTTAGTTAAATATAATAAAAAAAATAAAGTTTATAAGATAGAAAAAATAATTAAAAAGAAAGGAAATAAATATTTAGTTAAGTGGTTAGGATATCCCGATTCATTTAATAGTTGGATTGATAAAAAAGACATTAATTAACAAACATTTTATTTTATTTTTATATGATACACATTTTATTTATTTTATTTTTTTATATGATGTACACTACAATAAAATCAGTTAAAGTGGTGGTTGAAAACGGACAAGCATGTCCTCTCTTCCTATGACATCATTTTCAAAATTGCGGTTAAAAACGGACAAGCATGTCCTCTCTTCCTATGAAGTAGAGCGATTTCACAATCACTGATAAAATGACTGTTGGAAAAAAGGCTTATATTCAGGGAACATCTGTTAATTCTAATGTTAAAAAGGAAAAAAATTCACTTATAATTTTCATTAAAAGCTCACATAGTAGTAGTCCTGATTCTTAAGTTTGCATAGAAAAAATAAAATGACTAGTCACCTGAATATGATTGTCCCTGTAACATTTTCAAGAATTCTTCCATTTCTTCTTTCAATATGTTTATAAATTTGTCTTACTTTATCTTTAGACATCTATAAATTCACCTTCTTGCATAGTTTCTAATCATTAAATTAAAATTAGCACTCATACTGACTGTATTCACTTAACTGAACAAGAAAGGGATATTTCAACATTATGTAGTAATAATTATTAGTCATCAGTAAATGACGTCAACTTCCTCTGCGTTCTTATCAACTTATTTTTTTATTATGAAGAAAATTTTTTCCTTATTAAATGAAGCAGTGTAAACGTTGTAAAATAAATAAACCGTTCGAAGAATATAGTAAAGATAATAATTCTAAAGATGGATATTTTTTATGGTGTAAAGGTTGTACTAGCGAATACTATAAAAATTATTATACTAAAACTAAAGATATAAAACAGAATTAATAGAATGTGAATGTGGTAAAAAAAATTTCTAAATCATTCTCAGAGAAGCATATGAAAAATGATGTTCATAGAAGGCGATTAAATAAAATTAAAAAGTGTAGTGAATGTGAGGAGGAAAAATCTTTCGATGAATTTCATAAAAATAAAAGGAATACTGATGGATATGCTTATATTTGTAAGGCGTGTTTATTATTGAAAAAATATTGAATGTTTTTTTCCTCCTAATAATGGAGCAAATATTACAATCACGAACTCTTCGTAAATTACATCATTGTAGAGATAATAATCTTAGAGGTTATTCAAGATTAAGGAAAGCTTACCTAATTGATTTTATTATAAATTATAGACAGAGATGAACAAACTATTTGACAGCTGCGTCAATTTTGTAAAGATAATAATCTTAGAGGTTTATCAAGATTAAGGAAAGCAGCCTTAATTGATTTTATAGAGAGATATAAATTTAGTAATATATTTAACTTTGATGAAGATATTTTTTTAGAACCAATAGATCCCAGAGTAAAAAAAATAAAATGTGATATCTGTAATCATTACTATAATCCAACCTATAAGAATCTTCACATTAAAAAAAAAAACATATGAATGCATTATACAATGGTGAACCTATCCAAGAGATTGAAACAGCGTTCGAATCAAGATTAAAAACATATTCAATTAGGAACGTGATTAATCATATCATACCAAGAGAATTTTTTGAAGATGTGAGAGACATAGTTATTAGAAAAATAGTAGAGATACTGAAAAAAATGAACTTGAAAGTAAATTTCGAATTTTTCTGTGAGTATCAAAGAGAAAATGAGAACAAGGGTTTTTCGTTTAAAACTGAAAATGAGATTATTTTAGAATCAACAGATTTGAATGCTTTTTATGATAGAGTGATTAACAAACTAATAAGAGAGATGGATGAATTTGAAGCAAAAAGATCTGGATAGTCTTTAATAGAAATATATAATCTAGAGCTAAGAATCAATAAATATGTTCCATTTAGAGGATCATCTTTCATTGAATTACCAAAAACAATCAAAGACAAGAAAGCTGTAATGAATATTCGAAATGAAGATCAAGAATGTTTTGCTTATTGCATCGCTGCATATTTAAATCCGGTAGGAAGAAACAATCATAATCTTGGTCGAGTTAGTAATTATAACATTGATGAAATTAAAGAAAAACTTAAAGGAATCAAATCACCTATTGCTTTATCTGATATANTCCAATTTTAAAAATTATTTGTAATTTTAATTTAATCGACATTTGAAATTAATTTTGTGATCAGTGCTACCCAAACCACTACTACTAATCTCATAGAGAGAATAGAAGAAAGTTGAGAACCTTGCAATGAACCATTGCAATCAAACATTGCATAGAATACAGAAACAAAATGTGTTACAGTATATATATGTCTCATTCTTTCGTTGTTCTGTATTTATTCGCTTTTTCAAAAACTCAGCGCTGATTCTGTTGTTAACAGCCTCACTGTTCGTAGGAAAATACAGTAGTTTAACAAACCAATAATTATAGAACGTTTATATAAACAGAATATCGCAAATTACAGATAGACTTCACACTACTCTAATTTCTTGGTTAAAGCATAATCATCAGTAAAGTCGTTCTTTTACTTAAAACTGACGTTAAAATGCGTAAAAAGATTTTATACCTATCAAGTTATATACAGTAATGTAAGATTTTATTGTTGATGCTTTTATTATATTAAGTACAAAACTAAAATTTTGACAAACATGAAAAATATATTTAAAAACTTCGTTCTCGGCGGCCCATCGCATTTGTTTTCGATTGATATAATCAGAATAAAGTCTCTCGTTTTCTTTCATTTATGGTTTGCTATGTTACGCTTCATTTAAACTTTTTTCCTATTTATTAAATTATCTTAAAAGTTTGGTCCCCAATAGGATGTTGTCAATAGTACTTGATGTCCTTCAATGGACACCACCACTTCCTCTCAGGGAGAGCGTACGTTTATACTTTTCTCAAGGAAACATGTTTAATTAAAAGGAAGAATAAATCTCTCTTTCAAGCTGTGTGCTTAAGTACTTTCACATAATTACTGAAATAAAATTGAAAGTTCTGTACAATAATATTAAAACAGACTGCTTTTTTGCTACCCTACGTTATATTAAATATTCTAATCTGAGAAATAATTACGGAAAAAGATGTTAGGCAATGTATATATTAATAAATGAATAAAAGACGAATATCTCATGTTAACAATAATATGATGTACAAATAATCTTCTACTTTGAATAAAGGCGTTCGTACAAATTGCGTGAAGCTGGAATCCTAAAAAGTCATCAAATAAAGAGTTGCATATGATATAAAGATTAAGTTCTGAGAGAGATAAAAAGACAAAAACACTACAGGATTTCTCATTGTGATAAGAAAGTTATATAACAAGTATAAAACATTTTTTAAATACTAAAACTGTGAGTTAATTTAAATGAAATATAGACAACGAAAATTAATTTTTCAAAATTATTTTCAAGTTATTGAAACGGAAGCACGAAGAAGTTGTCAAAGTACAATAGGTAAAAGCAAATAAACAAATAAAAATTGTTTCGATTGACAGCTTTTGTTTATCGGTTAATAAAAATTGTTTCGATTGACAGTTGATGGAAATTTGGCATGCAAAAATTAGTAGCGAGAAAACTTCTGCTAAGGATTTTTTTAATTTTTACTATAAGAAATGCACCACATGGTAAGCATGGTAAGTGAACAGAGATATTACAGCTGTAGAAGTCAAATGTGGTATAGAAATGTGCCGAAGAAAAAATAGCATTGGAAGTACTTGATCAGAAAAGTCTATTTGCTGTTGTAGGCTATTCTTCTGCTATTACATTTACATGAAGAGTACACAAATTGGATTACATAAAATAAGATTCTGAACGCACTTTACAGGCACGTATCAACAAGCATCGGGATTGGAGACAAAGTGCAGTGCAAAGTGAAAAATACAGATGAAGTGCATTGGCAATGGTCCGTTCTGCAGTAAACATTAGTTGATTCTGATACTTAGCACGGTATTTATTGTAGGGACGATAAACTAAATGTGCTACTCTCGTGGCAGACGGTGACTGCAGTCTTTCTATACAAAAACTAAATTATTTTATTGATTATTAAACAAAAGACTTCAACTACAGGAGAGCAACCTGTTGCGGACACATTGGAGCCAATATCATAGCTATCGCTCTTTCTTAAACGACTACATATGCGATGGTAGCAAGAATGTCTTCCTAAATTATTTTTCAAAAAAAAATTTTTGCTTTTTTTGTTTTAGGAATGCTGTTAAGAGACGTAGGACGAGGCAAGATAATGCCTCGTCCTACGTCTCTGTCGCTCTGCAATAAAACGTCTTTCTGAAGGTGGTACGTTTTTACTGATTCCGATTTCATTGCCTCTCTAAGAAAAAAAGACAAGTTTAAGAACTGCTTTTTTTTATATGAATAATCTACGGGACAGTATGCCTGGCATGTGTATCTTCGAGGAAATTATGGAGAATGAAGAACAAAGATGAATACGGTGTTTGCAGGTTAAACATAAGTAAGTAATAAGTGTGCTGCACAGATTACTGCACTAACTGCACAATGACTGCATTTAAAAAAGCGATGTTTCATTTTATACCTGTACACCTACTTAGAATTTTGTAAAACCGAACTGAGCTCATATATGTGAAAACACTAAGCTGAGCTGAGGTCTTTACTGACGAGCTGCAAGTTAAGCTATGAATTTTAATTAATTAATTAATTAATTAATTAACCGGATTTGAAAGCTGAGCTTGAATGTCTTGCAGAAAAGTCTGTTTTTAGAATTAAATTGCATCTGTAATATGTATTTATTCAAATAAACAGCGAGTTGTGTATTAACTTTTTCAGCTTGCAACTATTTTATTAAAGAGCATTCGCTATTACAAGGCAACTACTACTGATATTTTTTGTAAGTTGAATGTGATCGTTATTCTGAAGCTGGTTACTTTTATCACTGTTTTATTATATAAACAACAATTAAACATTCGCACCTTTATTTTAACATAGGTAAAGATGACAACGCTGAATATATAGTTCTATTAAAATAAAATGTTGTCCCGAGCAATAGATCTGGTAAAAGTTAGGTGAAGAAATTTATATCGAATTGAGCTAAAGTATGAGCTAAACTACAACTCTGAATTCCGAATTTGAGACCTGAGTCGACTGAAAATTCTAAGCTGCAGCTCATTTGGTAGAACTTTTTCTTTACTGTCTCTATAGCCTAGTTGATGTCTCAGAGTAATTAATGTATTTATTTTTAGTAACAAATATTATTCCTTCTCAGAAATACAGTAAATAAAGTGTGTATTCAGAAAAAATTTCATACACATTTTTCAAAATACTAGCAAGAGCATGCAAAAAATCTTCTCTCTGCCTTAACTTGTGACAAAGCGATACTATATGAGGTGCTTCAAACAGCATCATGCTCTACAGCAACAAAATGTGTGGAAGCAATATTATAATTTTTGAGCCGTAGAGCAGACACAGGAGTACTTATATGCACATTGTGATTTTTCGGAGATATAGTGAATCTAAGGGCTATGATGTCCGGTTTTCCCGTACATACCGTATAATGAATCGATCAGAANAAAAAGAAGAAGATAAGAAGTCAGAAGAGAAAAAAGAAATAAATTATGAAATATATCCTATAAGAATAACAGAAAATAAACTAGTTAAGCATGTAAAATTATTATATTTAAAAAATGAAGAAAATTCACATTACTGTTTGATAAATGATCTATCTAGATTAGTCAGATCACAAATAACAAAGCATGCAGAAAAGATTTATATATGTGAAAGATGTCTAACATACTATAATTCAGCAGAAAAATTAACAAATCATGAAACTGGTTGTAAAGAAAAAAAGATGGGGAAGATACAAACTATTGGAGGAAGTATTTGCTTTAAAAATTTAAAAAAATCATTGAGGATTCCATTTATGATATATGCTGATTTTGAATGTCTAACTAAGAAAATAGACTCATGTCAACCAGATCCATCTAAGTCTTTTACAATGAAATATCAACATCATGAACCAATAAGTTTTTCTTATTACATAAAGTATGTACATGGAGAATATACGGATCCAGTTATATACAGAGGGCCTAATGCAGAAAAAAGTTTGTAGAGATGTTGAAAAATAAAGTTGGAGAAATTGAAAAGATATATAAAAACATTAAAGAAATAAATATGACTGCAGAAGATGAAAAACATTATAAAAATACTAATATCTGCCATATATGTGGTAAGGAGTTAAAAGAAGATAAAGTTAAAGATCATGATCATTTGACAGGGAGGTATAGGCGCCCTGCCCATAACCAATGTAATTTAAATTATCAAAACCCTAACTTTATACTGGTATAAAGTTAGGGTTTTGATAATTCATAATCTAACTGGATATGTTGCTCATTTATTTGTCAAAGAACTTGGATATGATACAGAACCAATTAGTTTGATACCGAACAATGAGGAGAGATATATGTCATTTACTAAGAAAATTGGTAAAATGAGACTTAGGTTTATAGATTCATTTAGATTTATGGCTAGTATTATTGATAAACTCTCCAGTAATTTGAAAAAAGAACAGTTTAGAGAAACATCTAAGTTTTTTCCTAATCACCTATTAGATTAAGTTATAAGAAAAGGTGTTTATCCTTATGACTATATGGATTCGTGGGAGAAATGTGAAATGGATAAACTTCCTTCAAAACAAGAATTCTATAGTATATTAAATGAATGTGATATATCGGATAAAGATTATGAACATGCACAAAACGTATGGGAAGCATTTAGGATTAGGAATATGGAAGAATATTCAGATCTATATGTGAAAACAGATGTTTTGATACTAGCAGACATCTTTGAGAATTTTAGAGATGTATGCTTGAAAACTTATAAATTAGACCCAGCATGGTATTATACAGCACCTGGATTATCATGGGAAGCAATGTTGAAGATGACAGATGTAATGTTAGACTTGATAAGTGATTATGATATGATTTTAATGATAGAAAATGGGATAAGAGGAGGAATCTCTCAATGTGTTAGGGGTATGGAAATGCAAATAACAAGTATATGAAAGATTATGATAAAAACAAGGAATCTAATTATTTGATGTATCTAAATGCTAATAACTTATATGGATGGGCATTGAGTCAATATTTATCATATGATGGATTTAAATGGTGTGAGGAAAATAATATTGATTTCTTCTTCAATATTTCTGATGAGAATAAAATAAGATATATATTAGAAGTTGATCTGGAATATCCAAAAGAATTACATGATTATCATTCTGATCTCCCTTTGGCTCCAGAGAACAGAATACCAGATGGATCAAAGCAATCTAAATTATTAACCACATTATATGATAAAAAGAAGTATGTGTTTCATTATAGAAATTTTAAACAATATTTAAAAATGGGGATAAAACTTAAAAAGATACATAGAGTATTAGAATTCAAGCAATCTGATTGGTTAATAAACCCATCTATGTGGGAATGAGTATATTAGATCTTTCGAAGCATTTGATGTATGATTTTCATTATAATGTGATGAAACCTAAATATGAAGATAACATAAAATTGTTATTTCAGAATACGGACAGTTATATATATGATATAAAAACAGATGATATTTATCAGGATATGAAGGGAATGATTAATTACTTTGATACGTCTGATTATCCTCAGAATAATCAATATGGTATACCGAGAGTTAATAAGAAGGTCTTAGGTAAACTGGAGGATGAAAATAATGAAAAAATAATGAGAGAATTTGTTGGTTTAAGAGCAAAAATGTATGCTTTAAAAGTAGAAGATCAGGTTACAAAGAAATCAAAAGGAGTAAAGAAATGTGTTGTTAAAAATAGGATATCATTTGATGATTATAAAAACTGTTTATTTAATAAAACAGAACATTCTAGAACAATGAATCTAATTAGAAGCAAGAAACATGAACATTATTCAATAGAAGTTAACAAGAAAGTGTTATCACCACATGGTGATATGAGATATATATCGGAGGATGGAATTAATACATTACCATTAGGACATAAATTTTTTCTTATATAAATGGACTCTAGAAATAAGAGGGCTATTAATTGGGATAATTTTTCAAAACAAGAAAATTTAACAGAAGATTTAATAGGAGAATTTAAAGATAAAGTTAACTCGGATTTGATTTCTATACAGGTATACCTCGGCTTACGTCGGTAATTGGTTCCAGGAAAACGACGTAAGTCGAAAAACGACGTAAGTCGAATTTACCTGTCTCCGAATCTACTTATCACTAGGAAAGCATTTTAAATAATATATGGTTAATAAAAATCTATTTTAAGCTTACAAACAAATAAATTTTAGTTTTTAATATAGTACAAAAAAAATAATCTAAATTTACGAATGCGTGTACTGTAAATACAGTACATACTTGTANAAAATTGATTAAAAACTCAAAAAACTTTAACTTGTTCAAGTCTATTTTACCGGATATGTTGTAACGCGAAGAGTAACATTTCGTAAAGAGTTCTTCATTTCTATCTGAAATATAAAAATTCTGATTAATATTTATAAAAAATTCTACTTAATATTAAAATTATATAAATGTATTTTGTTTTTTATATTTATTATCAAATAAAATTTTAGTATAAAAACTATAAATAAAATATGACAAGAGTACAATTTTTAAAATTGAAATTATATTCTGAATATTTCGAATTTTTAACGAATTTGAACATATTTATGAAAATTTGACAGGACAGATTACTGTTCCAGATATTTCATTTATCAAAATTTAACTTGTTTATATTATGCTACTTTTTGCATGTAAACACGAAAAACTAACATTAAGTTTGAATATGTATAGTAGAAACGGTATCTAGAACGTTAAAATATTATGCTTCACTTTTTCAATTTTATTTTTAATTCATGCAACATATATTACTTTCGGTTTAATTTAGAAATCTCAATTTTTTACATTTTATTTGCTATTATTAATAATAAAAATTCACAAGTAAAAAATTGACTTTTAATACTTTTCTTCACTATTTAAGTAAATTACACTAATAATTAGCATAAATTGCATAAATTTATGCTAATTTACTAATAATTTAAAAAACAAGATTTGTGTGTTTTCCATCATAAATCCATTACGATAGCGCCGTGTGTATACAATTAGTAATCCAGTTTTTAACGTTAATTACATCTCACTTCAACACCCTCAAAAACTTCAAATGAATACTGCAAATGTTGTATTAGGCATTTGTAGTAAGCGATCTTCGAGTTTTTCTAGTGATAATTTATCAGAACACATTAAGATTTGTCTTAACGACCAAAAGAAACACGCTACTCTTAAGCTTAAATTTCGAATTTATTGTATAAAACGTTGATTAATAACGCAATGAATGGCATGATTACAGGGCTGACAAAACGTACGTTACTGTAATAATAAAATTATTTCTTTTTGGGTCATTTGGAAATTTGCGAATTTCAAACCTGGTCATTTTTTATTATCGGCATTACACTGAGGTACACAACAATTAAACCGACATTTGAATGATATCTAAAAAAGTAAAAAACAATTTTAAGCAAGGTAAATACAGTATGACAAACAGAACAGGAAGCAACGTATCTACAAACCGGATACTGGCACCACGTATTGGCTTTAAAAAGTGCACGCCCTATTTGAGGTGGAGAGCATACATTTTAAATTACACGAAATAAAAAAAACTATGAATAATTGCTCGTTAATAAATATCAATATTAATATNAGTTATATAATAAAAGTATTTTCTCGTTCAACAATAATCTTGATTAAATTAAGACTTTAAATTTCTTTCTTTTTATTCTAAACCTCGCAAATAAACTTCAAAAAATTGTCGTAACTATTTTAAATTATAAGTAGTGATACCACTTTTGTTTAGAGACAGGAATCGTATAATGTAAAATACTGATTTTTATTTAGAATCAGCACTGAACAGAGAATGAAAATATAAAATATACATCGTTCCGAAATGCATTCATAATGATAAATTTAAAAGGTATAGCCATCGATAAGTGAATACCTATGAATGTTAGAAGTGCTATACTGAAATTCTGAATTTCAATATAGCATATTGAAAGTTAAGTACGTCTTATCCACATATGAAGTTCAAATTGATTAAAAGAACATATTCTAGTGTTAAAATTAGATGTGTATTGAAGTAAATAAATAAATTATGAAAAACTTTTAAATTTAATAAATTTTAATTATCACTATTAGCAGTAATAACTAAATCACTTTTATTTTCACGAGTAATATTTTAAGATTTGCTTTTTGTTATCTATTCTTACGGAATATCACTTTAAAAATTTGATTTTTTTAAACTTCGTTTACATTCTAAATGAATATCATATAGAAATTATCATGTGTTCACTAAATTGTTTTCTAACACAGTATATTAGTTAACTGTATACAAAATAATGAAAAATACATTTATCATAATGATAACTCTAATATTCGATCCTAATTAAGTTATTGCAATTATTAACACCATAATTAAATTTAATTAAATAGAATTTGATATTTATATTCATAAATACAAAATAATATTTAAAGTCATATATGTAAATTTGTATTTAACGAAAGAAAAAATGTAAAATTTTGTTTGTAACGAAGCTTTCCTGAATGTCCTTTATAGTCTATTCTTTGATTAAATATCGACAAACCAATTCCAGATTCATTTTGAGAGTTATTCAAACTATAAATTAGCATGAATAACGTCGATATTTTTACAAATTATGTATATTGTTTTCATTTCACAATGTTTTTTAAGACTTATCAATCTTATGTTTGTAACCGTTTGCACGAATAAGAAAATAATCAGTTTTAAAAGCAGGTGGAATATTTGTCGTGAATATTCGTAAAATAAGAATATATATTGAAAATTATGTCGATAAAAATATTTATTATTGACTACAATAGTCAGTAACGTTTTTAAAACAGAAAAATCTATAGGTTCATTTAATTTTACAATTGTTAGAATATTTTCTGTTTATGAAAGTTTATTTATTTACTTTTAATTCTGTTAATACATAAAATGCTTTTAATCGATAAAAAATTTAATTACTGGAGAACTGCAGCAGTAATTGTTTTTCCTGTTATATAATTTAGCTGAAAACGTGAAGAAATCGAAAATTATTTCTAAAAATGCAAATTTATAAATTTACTACGCACTTTACAGATTGAAATTTATCAAAATTTATGTATTTGTCTATTCTCCTTTTTTTCTTTCTTATTTTTATCTGTAAGTTGTCTAATCCGAACTTTTTACAGGGACCACTCTGCACATTTACTATTTTGAATAAGCAAAAATGCAGTGTTTAAAAAACATTCTGTTATATTGTAAAATTCATAACAATGTATTATACGTATCATTAACGATTCGATGTGTGTTCTATCTATTTATCCATGTATGATGAAAGAATAATTTAAAACAAAGGAACATTTTTATATATTTACATGAAAATATAAGAAATTTATACAATAATTATAAAAAGTTTTTATAAAATATCTTAATTTCTTAACATTATTCTTTACATATTAAAATATATAAACAAATATATTTGTGGTTGAATACAACTATAAAACTATACTTGTAGAACTCAAAATCATGTATAAACACAGTGTTTGTGGCACGGCTTTATGACACGACTGACACAAACACTGTGTTCATACATTATTTGAGTTCCATAAGTATAATGTTGTAAGTGTACTATAATCACAATATACCGTATGACAATCCGTTTATAATCAGCGATGATGGCATTCATAAAAATTGGCACACTCGCTTCGCTCGTCTGCCAAATTTCCATTCATGCCATAATCGCCTATATTATAAAGTAATTGCATAATATATAAATATAATTTACATTTAATGTGTTTTTCATAGATATAAAATATGTATTGTAAGTACAAAAAATGAAGCTACAGATAAAAATTATTTTAGTAAACTAAAGTTATGACTACTTACAGTTATAATAATAAATATATAGTTGCAATCTGTATATGAACTTCTTAAGTATGCATTATAAATTCAAGTGT